AAAAAAAAAAAAAATCTTAAAAAGCCTCCCTTTTAAAGTGCTAACACAAACAATCTTGCCTTCGTATTTTCCACATCCACAGTAATCAGAGAATTTGGAAATGGGGACCCAGGGTGTGCTCTTCTTAGGCGACTGAAAGGTCGATGTGATTTTAAGCAGGACAGAGAGCATCAAAGCCAAGCGGGGAATCATCATCCTTTAAATTTCATACGAATGCCTTAAAAAGACGCCCACAGAGCAGGACCCGTTTGCTAAATAAATCCTCACACCCATTCTACGGGCATTCTCCCTTCTGTCGCTGGCAGTGTGGGTCCATTTAGTCAACTCAGAAATTAAACATTAACTACGAGGCTGAGCCTCTTTACACATTCCAAAGGTAAAAGTTGTCAGTCAAAGTTTTTAATAACACCTCGGCCAGTTGGAATGACGAGGAGGGAGGAGAAGGGTTACAAATTTACAGATGTTGAAGTCGGTAAGGTTTGTTTCCTAGAAAGTTAAAGTAATTGCAAGCCCTTTCCCACTGCCCTCCTCCCAGAAATAAAGCCCGAGCTTTTCCCTGCTCTTTGGGCCCCATCCTGCTCTCACTGATTTAACAGTGCCACCGAGGGCAGTGAAAGGCGGCTGTTCTAACAATGCTGAAGTCTTCCTAGATCAAAATCACCTTTAGTTGCTTCAAAACACCACAAGCTTTTGTTTAAGGAAAACCAAAGCCTCACCCATGATTCTGCCCCACCTATTTATACACAAAATGTCAAATGAACATTTTCTCTCTATAGCTGATGGTCTTTTTTTTTTTTTTCTGAAAACAACTGAAGAAAAGCAGTAAAACCATCTCAAAGACTAGATGACACAATCCTCACACAGGTAAAACTCTCATTAAACTCAAAGCTGCTTTTCTCCTCCTAAAACTTCCGAACCTACTCCTGCATTACAGCCATTCTTCACCGCTGAGCTAAAGAACTGGAGTTAAGGTCTGTGGTGGTTATGGATGCACATACACATACACTTAACACACACAGGCTTACTGGTCTCCTGTCTGGGCCTTCACAGCTCAAACTCAGCTTCTGTGTCACTAGCAGATAGTACAGATATTAGACACAGCTCTCTGAAATGCAAGCTGGTGAGAGAATATTTCAAATTTTGTTTAAGCTGGCATAAATATTATATCGATGATCAGCAGAAATATATAACTTCAGATGTTCTTTCATTTAATTGTTCTGTTAATGCTGATGACAAGCTTGTTTCTGATTTTTTCCAACCTCTCTTCTCAATGCTGATTAGAAATGTATCTGAGACTCCTCTCCCAATAACTTCAGTCTCTCCTAAGCATGATTAAAAACACAAAAGCCTAACAAAAAATCAAAAATGAAATATTTATTACCGCATTTTGTGACTTAACACCTTTTTTTTTTTCTTTTTAAAACATAACGTCACAGTCCTCATACAAGTATTTTAATGTAAATTTTGACAAAGCTTAAAGGTAACAGCATTTTCTTCTAGTGAGGAACACGTGCTGAGAAAGGAAGAATTCATGGACATACAATACCAATTCCACAGCAGATCTGATACTAGCAAAAACATTCTTTTTTTTTTTTCAATTGAGGTAAACACATAGAATATCTAACATGAAACAATTAATAGACCGAACTCTGTACGAAGTTTGTTACAGTATTCTCTTGCTTTTTTTTCCCAAGCTTTGAGTTCATGATAAAGTCCTAGGTTTGGTGCAAAGACCGTTAGTAACTTCTTTCATTGAGGAAAGCTGCCCAACTTTTAGATTTGTTTTGTCCAAAGCCAAGGCTCAGAACTACTGGAAGAAGCTCCTGCTCTGTCTGTTCTGTCTTTTAAATCTTCACCTGCAAGCTCTTTGAAGAAGAGTCCAAAAAAAAAAAAATAGATTGGGGAGGAATGGGGAGAGACTTAATGAAGCACAAACTATAAAGATCTGTTTGAAACTAAAGGACACATTTTATGAAGGAACAAAACGAGGGAATGACAAGGCCTTCTTGGAACAGTCTTCTGAGTGATGTGAGACCCAGCAAGACTTTTCGTCTTCATCTCCAGGGTAGTTCTTTTCTCACTGGCCAAAACAGGTCTTTCATGGATAGTGACTTCACTGCTGAACCAAAACAGTCATTCTTTTGGGAACAACACACATAGTGTGGAAAACAAGGATTTTTTTTTTTCTTCTAAAACTATTTGAGGCAACGTAACGGAGTGATCAACAGAAATGTACAAGTTAACTTAGTTCCTATGTTTATACTACAGTAGTTATAACTCTTGGAGTCTTTTTTTTTTTCCAGAGGATCTGTACATGGACATATTCATTTCAGTGAGCCCATGATTTCACATTTGTGTTCTTGTTTCGTTGGTCCTCTGTTGTTGATGAAAAATGACAAAAAGTAAAAAATAATCACAGCTGTCTGGAATTTCGTATTAAGTGTCAACATCTGGTCAAAGTTCAAAAGTCTTAAAATAGTTTTTGTTTTGTTTTTGTTTT